GAAGACTGCAGGAGTTTCAATGAGGTCCTGGTTAAGGGAGCTCTGGGGGGGGCTATTTTCTAAAGCTGCTGAGAACAATTTGGAGAAAGCCTGAGGTTCTGGCCTGGAGGCCCATGGTATAGTGCCTGGCTGGTCCAGCAATGAGGCATCCATGTACACAGGGACACAGTAAGTAGAGGCCTGAGAGAGATCCTAGTGACTGTTGCTTAAACCTAGAGACTGTTCCAGACTTGCTGGCTTAGGGCTGCTTCCAAAGTGTGAGTCCCCTGAGCTGTTTGTCCACCATCTCTTATTACAAGAGGTCCATCCTGATGATTTTAGCTATTTTCAGAGTGTCCTCTGTTAGTTTGCAATAAATTTGGAGTGTCCCATGGTGCACACTACACCCCAACCAAGTTTAATCAGCATTAAACTTCAAATAGACATTTGCTGCCTGGTTATTGTGTTGAGAGACTACCGTGTGCCTGGCTGCCATGCACCCAATAGGGAATAGAACCTGTGACAAAATAGTCAGACTGGTGGAGGATCTGCACTACATATTTTTGTAATTGTTTTATTTATATTTGTATATCTTTCAAAAATTTTCAATAAAAAATTAAAAATATCATCTCAAATCCCCTAGGTCACGGGTGTCAAATTGGCAGCCCTCCAGCTGTTGCCAAACTAAAGTCCCATTGCAAGATTGACAGTTACAAGCATGTCTCCCAAAGGCAGAGGCATGATGGGACTTGTAGTTTTGCAATAGCTGGAGGGCTGCCAGTTTGACACCCCTGCCCTAGGCAAAAAGGAGCCGTTAAAGTGGAACTAAAGAGTTTAATAAAAGGCCTGTCTGCTTGAAATTTTTTTAAGAGCCATTCTGTCTTTTCTGCAATAAAAGAAACTAACTGTCCACAAGGTCCTTAGAATGTAGAGCTTTCTGATCATGTCCATCTGGGAGTATTGTGGCAGTCTCTCCTTTTCTCCATTTTGCTTTATTCATGCCTTAGCATTTTTATGAGTGCCTATTGAATTTATTTTAGCACATAATGATTTCTTATACCAAGATTCATTTTACTTGCACCGAAGGCGCACGGCAATGGAGATAAGATTTGTGCCGAGCCAATGCCAATTTATATATGGGTTATGTTGAAGGAAAATTACATTTATTTGAATAATGGCACAAGCCTTGCCCTACTTAGATTCCAATAGTTTTTATTGAACAGTTTTTCAAATTAACATTACAAACATAATGAACAATAGTCATATCACAAAAGGTAGATTGACACAACTCAATAGAGCATTGGTTATCAGACATAAGGCACGCAACAGGAGACCAGAGACTCAGTAGAACAGAAATTGGATAATCCAAAAAGAGAAGTCCACATCATTTAACCATATTATAGAGAACAGACACAGTGGTGGGGTATGGGAAGATGGAGGAAAACCAGGAAGGAAGTAGGGAGGGGAGAGTTAGGAGACTAACCACTGTACGTGGACCTGAGAACACACACACGGCATAACAAATGTTGTAAAACACACAAGAATTAGGCATAAGCCTTACCCTACTTAAGAGTTACTGTACTTAATATAGTTTGTATTTAGTAGTGCATACTATATCAATAAACTGTATGTATTCAGATATTGACTCTATGTCCCACCTTAATTGTAATCATTTGGGCCTAAAGATTTTTTGTTGCAATGATTTTTGAACTTAATAAATAAAATGTACAGTTTGGTGTCAGTCTATTATTTTTGACACTCCAGTAGTGCAACAAGCGAAAATTGTAAAAAAAAAAAAAAAAAAAAAAAAAATTTACAGGTGATAAAATGATCATTCAGCTAGTTCAAGCTTCAGATGAGGTCCAGGTCTTGGAACAGTGGTCGATTGATCAGGTAATGGAAGGAGGTTTCATTGCCAAAGCTTCATTGAACAAGCTGAGGTTAGAAGCTGATTGGTTTCTATGCAGAAGGGAGTCTGATTTTGGACTCTCCAGCTTTAGTAAATAAAAGCCAGTGTCACCCAGGGCTCAGAGTCCCATCCCAAGCCTTCAGCTGTCCAGTGCCACCAGAGTGCTATTCAATAAGTATAGCAAAAGAAACAGATTGTTCCAAACAAGAATATTGTGGAGAAGAAAAAAAGGAAACCCGCAGCATGTACCATAGCACCACACCTCTGGGCTGTGTTGGCAGTATAAACAGAATGTATAGAAACAACTGTCTTCTGTGTGTCCTAGCCGTGATCTACACCCACCTAGTGTGGTAAACCACCGGTCTCAGTACTATGTGAACAGGGCCTGGATTACATTAGTTTTCAGAGATGCTTTTACTCATTGGTTGGGTAACCTACCCCTGGGACTTTTAATTAAACTATTGAAACTCATTGGGGGGGGATTTTCTATATTGTACTGTGTACCAGAATGATTTATCATTCACAGCGAGCAAGCATGTTTAGTTAATGAAGTGTATTTTTCTATCTATTTCCATGGGGGTAGGATTAGGAAACTCTTGTGTATCAGCTTGAACTATTTTTAATCCTAATGCTACTAGCATTAGTAAATTGATCGGAAGGTACATCTTTTTTTTTTTACTTAACTTCTCTCATGTTTTCAGTAACTTCCTTGTTTCTGGCCTAGGCAAATGTCATACATCACAGGAGTCTTCAGGGAGGGGGCTTTTTTAGCTACCTAATCCTGCCTGCATGCCAGAGCCAAGGTCAGATGGATTCCAGGATGTTAAATGCTACACAAATCATTGGCCCTTACTTAAGATGGTCATGCTCAGAAATGCTGGAGGGTGCTTTTTAAAAGGGATTTCCCAACAAAATAAAAGCATGGTGACATGGATGAATTTGCAGTCAACATTAAAAATGAATTAAATAGCATTTTTGGTGCTCAGATATACAGTGTAGTTCAGCTTTAATTTCCATATAGTTAGCAGGTTTACAACGGGATTAATGGGCAAATGATAAGTATAGGATTAAAGCTGAACGCCAGGGAATGTTGCATCCTAAATACAGGTGTAACATGTGAAGTGGAAATGGCCTTAAACATGGTTTACGTATTAAAATGTGCCTGGCTTCTAGTACTTTGCTAATAAAGGCTTGGATTTGTGCATGACCAAGGAAGAGGCTGTGAACCACAGCAAAGTGCATTGCATAATAAAATATTATGAAATACACCTCACTGTGTGGCCTTTGCAGGAATCCAAGCAAGGAATTCGTAAGCTTTAAGAGCACTTTGCATAGCATCCAATTCCATCTACCATTATCAGGCTCATCCTGATGTCTGAACCAAAAACGGCATGGGAACTTATGAATGTATTTTCAACTGTTGGCACTATATTGTGTCTAACTGTACAGACAAGAGGAACACATTTGGCCTTACACATTGGTTCACTTGATAGCCATAGATGGGTCAACATTCAGCTGGTTCAGCAGGAACTGGCCAGATTTTTATCCAAGCGGCTGCTCCTGATTAAGACATTTTTCAACAAGCCCATTTGATGGAAGTCAATCAGTGCCTGCAGGCAATGCTCAGAGTATTCTGAGAGCAGAGTCCCCCTGTTGTCACAATACTATGGGGGAGCCCTACTAAAACTGGTGCACACAGAATCTGGTGTAGCTGTGCATAGTAACCAATTCACCTTCCAGTTTTTATCAAGCTGAAGTTAGAAGCAGATTGGTTACTATGCACAACTTCACCAGATTCTGAGTGAGACAGCAGAGAAGAGTTTCTAAAACTGGTCTCAAACAGGAGGGATTCCTTCATCCACCTCAAAATGTGTGGATGAAGTATCGGGACAGCCTGCTGGCTGAACAAAATAAAGCAGTCCATCTATGGCCAGCCTTAGATGCACACAACCCATATATTTGGATATACAACTCATATAGAGGCAGGCACAAATGCATGTCACCCTCATGGCCAAGCCGGTTTGTTGGTAGAACAAGCAGCAATTGTTCAAGAATAAAAAAAAAAAAAAAAAAAAAGTCTTGCAAATTTCTTTAAAAATGTTAGAATGTGCATGTATACAATTCTACACCAAAAGCCAAAATTACCAGCAATGCTCACATCCTGTAACCTGCCCCACAGGGAATATGGTTTTACATAGACAAACTTTACCAGACACAACCTGTTGGGTTATCAATCACACCATTGGTGAGGGCAGCAGGGGGCTCAAACAGGACGCGAGATAGGAAATGCCTGCAAATTAAGGGAATTCCTTTGTGTCCCCCAGAATTGTCCTCAGAAGAGTTTCCCCTATATTCCTTTCCAGGGAAAACCCAAAATTTGGAATTTTCCTTTCAATGAGTCCTCATGCACACATAATGTTTACAGCTGTCGTTTAATTTAGTTTATTTAAATTAGTTTAATTTATTTAAACTACACCTAGTTTTTGGATCTCCAAGTTTGCTTTGACTTCTTTCATAGGGCTTCAAGCCCTAAACATTTGAGGCTCTATCCATTTCCCATTCCACATTTATAGAATGGATGCAATTTTGAGGACAGCAGGCTTTGCTTTATAAATTCAAGAAACAGACCAGTTTTCCGTCATTTAAACACAACAGTCTTTATTTATCAAGTGCTCAGGATGTGGAAACAGGAAGACAAGTCATGGAATGAACTGTAGAGGAGGTCAGTACATGGTTATGGCAACACTGGAGGTAGAATAGTAATGTAGAGAGCCTAGTGAACATATGGTATTAAACAATGCTAATTGTAACCTGCAGTAGTATGGAGGCTGCTACTGCCAACCTGCCCTTCTGAAAATGCTAGCTGTCCATTATGCTTCTCAGTCAGTACTTTTAGAGTCAGTAACTAGAATGTCTATTGGAAGCTTTGACTTCATTTGGACTTTCCTCATTTGCATGGTTACTGTCAGCCATTTGGCTCAGCACAACAGCCAGGCAGTTAGCATTTTCTGAAGGTCAGTAATGACAGCCTTTGTAAATTCTGTACAGATATGCAACTAAATAAGCTGCTCTACTTTTCTACTTGCAACACTCTATAGTGCTACCAGCCTCATTAGTTTGCAAAGGTCGACTTTACGGCTTCAACAATGCACTTGGAACTGATGCCAAACATTTCTAACAACTCTGTAGGCTTTCCACTACGAGGAACCCCTCTGACTGCCAGACTCTGGACGATGAATCCAGGCTCTCCACCCAAGGCTGCGGCCACTGCATCCCCAATGCCCCCTGAGAGAAAAGAAAGGAAAAAATAAATTTAAAAACAAAGCCACACTCACAAAACTAGAAAGCTCCAGCCACCATGTAACCCTAACCCAGCCATCTGCTGCTGGTCACTACAGGATGAACAGTGTTGCACAACACAGTGAATGCCATAAAAAAAAAAAAAAAAAAAAAACCCACACACCACACAATTTTTCACATTTTTGCAGCAAGTTAAGTCCATATTTAGAGTGACATGCAACGTGGTGCAAATGCTTTTGACCCTCACCCCCCTTCTTGTGGCAGCATGTGGGTCTTCACCCCTGAAGCCATTGTCACTTAAATTCTGAAATGTATGAATACACTACAAGTCTCATTTGCCACAACAGCAGATGGGATCTTACTTCTCCATGGACTATGAGTGGTGTAAATAGAGCACTTTTAGTCCACGGTCACTTCCTCCAGCTTTGCAACTGAAAACCTATACAGAGGCAAATGGTAGAAAGCTGGAGAATGTTTGCAGGAGCCTGACATTGCACCCACAATCCACTGATCACAGGTTAAATTCTTTGCAGGCTCCTGTTAAAATATAAATACACATTTTTCCTGCAAATGTGTGTTTTTTAATAATTATGGTTTTTAAAGTGAATTCAACCTTAACATTTGAAATACAGAAGTGGACCATTTTATCTGTAAAACAGTTCATAGTTCTGTGGAGCCATTTTCTAGACTTCCTAGCTTTGTCACACTATACAAGTACTAAGATACCATGATTAGGTCTGCTCTGCAACTTCAAAAAGGTCACATACAGGCTTATTAGACTACAAATCAGCTCTATGTTGCAAATTTGCTGTCCAATTAGCAGGTAAGTGGGAAAGAATGCTGCAGAGCTGAAATGGGACATGGGGAGAAGGGGGGGCATTTGCCCATCTAGATCACAAGACTGGCTGAATTATGAGGGGTACAGGAGGAGATTGCCTGGCAGCATGAGCACATCACCAGCAATAAAAAACAAGGCATAACCAACCCTCGGCACCAAAAAGGTGGTAGCAATCAGTTTTACTTTGGACTTGGCTTTCAGGGCTCTTTAGTCTTGGCAGTTTAGAGAATAAACCCAAAACGTTCTGGATATTCCATCTACAGAGCTGAAATAACCAACTCAAAGCCAGCTGTACCGAGATCTTACCTTCTTTGTAATGATCCTCCACAGTAATGATATGACCACCTGTAGCTCTGCCACTGGTTATAATGGTAGCAGCATCCAGAGGTTTAATGGTGAATGGATCAATCACTCGGATATTGATGTCTAAAAAAACCAGCAAAAAACAAATAAAACACACCGAACATAATACTCTCCTTAAACAGGAGAAATGCTGAACATGGAACTAAACCCCTATCCATTTCAACCAAGGAAGCTGCCATCTTAGCCTCAGTTTGATCTGCAGTTGCCACAGTGCTTCACATGTGATCAGTTATGACACTAGCCATTTGATGGCTAGACAGTTCAACTGAGTGCACAAGCAACTGTGACAGTTATTTCATGGCATGCCTTGAAATTAACATTTTTTGGGGGGAAATGTTTTTGAAGGCAAAAAACGGTGGCCACAAAGACAAAATTTGATTTGGATGTTGCTTCTGCTCATTTACTTTCCATTTTGTGGATTAAAAAAAAAAAAAAAAAAAAAAGGGGGGGCTGGGAGCAATGATTTCTGATTTGAATCCAGATTAAGTGACCCAAGCAGTGATTGTCACGATTGAGCACAGTTTTAGTATGCATTCCCTATAAAAAGGACTTTGCTCAGTAGCTAGAAGTTGATTTATTCAGTTCCAAGCAGCTTTACTTCCACTGCGTATGTTTCAATCAAATCAGAGCAGATAAACCAAAAACATTTCTACAGCGTCAAGTTGGCATTTCTATACCATGATTGCTGGCATGTACTCATGCAGTACAGTGGTCTGGTTTAGATCTATGCCTTGCTCAATTAATGCTCATCTACCCATGTGTAGAATTACTGATTTTGTCAATTTCACAATTGAAAGTAAAAATGAGAACCTAAAAAATAAGACACTAACCTTGTTTGGCAAGCTCTTCTGCAGCTGCCAGCGCCTCATGTAAGGTGACACCAGCCCCGATCACTGTCACCCTGTCAGAAGCACTCTGACGAACAACCTTGGAGAAAGACAAAAAAGATATAGAGCAACATTAAAAATACAATATAAGAAATATTACATATTTCCTTAAAGTTGTCCAATTGTCTCACAATATCTGATCACCTATGCCATGCAGGCAGCTGGGACTGTGTTGGAAACAGCATCTAGCATTTAGTTAACCATTAGTGTTATACTTTCTAATATATTGAATAGTCATTATTTGTATTGTAAAGTGCTGAGCAAACTATTGGCGCTATATAAATCCTGTATAATACTTTTAATAAAATGCTACACTTCTAAGTTTTTGTGCGATCTCTTCACACATCAAATACAACCCCAAAGCGTGACAGAACACCACACACACACACACACACAGTAAGCTTTAGTTGTGGAACACTGTTCATTTTCTTGCATGCCTTATTACCTTTGCTTGTCCAATTTCAAACTTTTCCTCTGGAGAATAGATTATCGCAGTATCCGGTCTGCTGGTTCTAATAAAACAAATGCCCTTAAAAAAAAAAAAAAAAAAAAAAAAAAAAAAACACACAAAGATGTTACAACAAAAGGCATTACACAATGAATTTAACTAGAGAGCTGCAATAATGACCCATAGCTGACCGATCAGACATTTATATTACTGGCTTCTATGGAGAATACTCTACACTGCATTATTGTATATGACACTTACTGAAGTGTTGGCAGCCAGACTGACTGCATATTCTGTAGAAACACCATCACTAGGATAGAAGACAGTACAGGATGGAATAGCACGGAACATGGCAATATCCTCCAAAGCCATTTGTGAAGGACCATCCTCACCTGACCATACAAAAAAAGACATTGTAATCATTCCCAAGCTGCACAATTACATAATAGAACCTTGCTAATAGATCAGACAGGCAGCAATCTCACACACACATGCTTTCAACTTCTGTGAAATATCCTCAGCGCCTCTAAAGAAACTTTAAAAATTCCAGCTCTTCTGCTTAGAGTTTTGTACAGAGAGATTTGATCACATAACACAAAAATCTGAATATATGAATGCCAGATTAATTTTTAGAAAGTTGAAAGGTGGAAAAATGTAGAACAAAGTAAAACTTGGAGCTGCAGATGATTGAAGCCACTAGGCAGATTTAAAAAAAAAAAAAAAAAAAAAAAAAAAAAAAAATATATATACTAGCAAGTCAAACAAAAATCGCCCCCTGATCAAAACGTGTTTAATCTTCTTTAAAGTATGTAGTAGTTGCAAACATTACAGGAATATAGTACATGCATACCAAGTATGTGAATAAAACACAATATAAATATAGAGCATGAGGAGAGTGAATTGTGAAACAAAGCCCACTAGATATGGTCCTAACCACTTTGAATTAGATGCGATACCTAATTTTTCCATTAGGATCAAAATATTGTCCGATTTAAAAAAAAAAAAAAAAAAAAAAAAAAAAAAAAAAAAAAAAAAAAAGTCTAGTTGTAGCTACAACATCTGTAGATGTTCCCAATTTTTCGCAACATTTCCAAAAGCTGGCCATTGCCAACATACATGGGCAAGATCTGAAAGGTCATATTTAGTAGCAGTTAGTCAAAAATTCAACTGGACTAGTTCTGTAGTGCTGAAGGAGTTTAAAAACCACAAAAAAAAAAAAAAAAAAAAAAAAAAAAACCTACTACAAAAAATACTCACTGCCTAATAAAAGTTGCACTAGAGCTATGCATGCGCTTGTAAAATGTGGGGAACCCAATTATCCATTTGCCTCTTAACCTCTCACTGTGTCAGCAATTTATTTTGCTAAAACATACTAAAAAGTGCATTTCCATGTGTAAAATTAGAACGTAATAAAAACCCATTTATTGCCATCACAAGGGGAACGACAAGTCCCCATCAAATAGAATGGTGCAGGTGGCAGGAGATAACAGGGCACTCTAGGTTTCATGCTCTGCAGGGAAAAAAAAAAAAAAAAAAAATCAGAAACAAAAATATTGCCGGTTTCAGTCAATCCCTATCTTAAAGCATCTCCTGTGCATCCAGGGCTCCAAAAGGAGAAAGACAATCCCAGGGCGCATAGCAGGGTGTAAAACCTGCAGCAACATCAGTCTGCTTTACAGATGCCAAAAACCACTTAAATGCAGCATTGCATCCATGCTTCTATTCACATGCCATGATGGTGGTAGAGGTAAAGAGTTAAGGCAACTATGATACAAGGCCCAAGATATATTACAAAAAAAAAAAAAAAAAAAAAAAAAAAAAAAAAAAAGTGCCAAATTAGATACACAACTCACCAATAGAAACTCCACAGTGTGAGCCACAAAGGTTAACATTAGATTGAGAAATGGCCCCCATACGAATGTGATCATACGCTCTAGAAAGGAAGGCAGAAAATGTGCTGGCAAAAGCCACAGTGCGATTTCGGGTGGCGCAGCCCATTGCCACACTCACCTGTAACAAATTACACAAAACAGGGAAAGTATAAATATATTTGTTATTACGGTCACAAATGCAATATTTTTACATCATTGTCAACCTGATCAGCCATTTCAACATCCGGACTAGTTTGTCAATCCTCTAAGGTTACCTTCTAACTAGATGTCCAGAGAATTCAATCCAGAAACTCAAAATTGGCAATTATATCCAGGCCCCAGTGCAAAGCCTTGCTCAGGTGCAGGGGAGAATGGATCAAGCCAATCTTCAACTTTGAATAAGCCAACATGTAAGTGATGTCATATCATGCTCACATCTAATGACCCTTTTCTATACGATTATTAGGTGCCTATGCAAGTTTTCACAGCATTATCCAGTATTTCCCCATTCTCCCCCCCCATGTGATCATAACATCTTCTGGTTTCTAGCCATAAACTCATCCTACTACATGAACAACTGATGTGCATTGATTTTGTGTAACAGATAAGAGTCACTTATTGAAGTGAATCGTAGCTAAAACAGATTCTAATCCCTCCTATCAAAATTTATATATAAAATGAGTACATGTAAACTGTACCATAGTAGTCATCTTTGACAGTAACACACCCCCCCCCCCGCTGATGGGCAGCATCAATCTCTCTGAACTAAAGTTGAGTTTTGTCATAAACACCTCTTGGCCTGTCAGTGGTAATGTACCTTGCATGCATTTCTCAGACCACATTTATAGAATCCACTCTGCCATGGTGAAGGGACTGCCACAAAAGAGTGAGGTCACGGCTATTCAAGCAGCCAGAGAGCACGAACACAGAGGGAAGTGCCTGGGAACTGCTGGAGGTGACTGCACAGCATTTGAGGGCTCTGTTTGACAGGCAAGTCTGTCATATTATGCGCTGCATATGGCATAATGCTCAAGGGAGCCCATAAAGGGGAAAGGAAAAAATGCTAAAAAACAAAACTAGAAAAAAAAAAAAAAAAAAAAAAAACCCACAAAAACAACCCATCATGCACACGTGTATTTCACATACTCTTGTCTCAAGTGTATAAAGTATGATTTTGGTCGAAATTTGTAAGAATGGAATAAAACCCCAGGACACAGTAACCATACATTTCACTTTAAAGATGTGATTAGACATTCATAACAAGTACAGTCTGCGCAGGCACTGCTGGAATAAGGCCAATACACTCAATGTTTCTTACCATATTTTGTTCAGCAATGTAGCACTCTATAAAGCGGTCAGGATGTTCATTCTTGAAGATCTCAGAGAAAGTGGAGTTTTTGGTGTCTCCATCAAGGGCAATGACTCGGCTGTTGGCATGTCCCAGTTTAGCAAGAGCAAGGCCATAAGCTTTGCGGGTTGCAATCTAGAAAATGGTGGAAAGGATTCATGCAAGAGTGGATTTACACATTCAGGACACAAACCAAATGCTGTCACCACCAATACAGAGAAATTTAAATACGGAAGGACTTTCACGACCCCCAGTTTGATACTTTGGGATCCATTCTTTTATGGTAGCCAATGCAAATTCCAATCCTAAAAAAAATTAGACATCTTCACATTAAAGAATATTGGCACCATCATGTGTGAAGATAAATACATTTGTCCAAACTTCAGCACCTCTGAGCAAGGGAAGCACTCAGGAGAACAAGGGCGGAGTGATCATGTCATAGAAATGTACAATAATCATGGGGTCCGTCACTCAGTTGGGCTTGAGGCATCAGCAAGCACTTGGACATTCAGAATGTACAGAAGAACCCAGACATGGTCTAGAGCAAGTGTCTCCAAACTGCAACCCTTTGCTTGCTTTTATCCAGTTCTTAGGGCATTAGTTCCGTCAGCAACAGTGGAGTACAGTTCCTGTCAGTGACACCAGAGATGGGACAGTATTTCTCCCACTGACACCAAGAAATATTATACAGGATTTATATAGTGCCAACAGTTTGCAAAGTGCTTTGCAATACAAGGGAGACAGTACAATTACAATACATTTCAGTACAGAAGGAATAGGAGGGCCCTGCTTGTGCAGCTTACAAGCTGAAGGGAGGGGGGGGGGGGGGGGGGGGGGGGGGGGGGGGGATAGATGATCTGGTAGAGGTGATTCAAGTACAGTTCTTAGGTGGAGTAGGCTTTCCTGATAAAGTGATTTTCAAAGCAGATCGCCTAAAAAGGCAGACAGGGTGGGGGCTGACCGGATAGGCTCTGGAGGAGTCCTGGAGGAGGTGACTAGGGAGCTAGAGCGGCAGTGTTGTAGATGGCTTTGTAAGCTGTGGTTAGCATTTTTATACGTTGGGTTAGTGGAAGCAAATGAAGGGATTGGCAGCAGTTGCTGATCGGTTGGTAAGATGTAGTTTAGCAGCAGCATTCATAATAGACTAAAGAGGGGGGGGGGGGCCTGTGTAATGGTAGACCAGTGACAAGGGAGGTGCAGTAATCAAGGTGGGATAAAACCAAGGCATGGGCAAGTTTGGTGGTGTCATTGGTCAGAAAGGGGCGGATTTTGGAACTGTTCAAGGTTGAGGCGGCAGGATTTAGCCAGTGATTGGATGTAGGGCCCAAGAGGAGAGATCAGAGTCTAGGATTACGCCTAGCACCCTGGCATGAGGTGAAGGACCAATGGTGCAGCTCCCCTAAAGTTTGAAGGACAGTAAACTGGCCCTTGGTTTAGAAAGTTTGGAGACCCTTGCTCTAGAGTTTCCAACCAATCGCTGCTGCACTTTGTTTACATAATATGCCATCATACATATATTATCTAGATTATAAGCAGACCATTTACCCTCCAACTGCAAACAAGCTGCCATTCTGAGCTGCACTGGCAACCAAACCCCAAACTGGCAAGTCATATGCAGTACAAATAGGTCTTGCCATGAGTGTCAGAGCTTAGCTTGTGTACAGAAGGAATCAAGTTCCTAGAGGATTAAATGAGGAGTCTTTATATTCTTTATTCTTAAAAAGCAAAATCACAACCAAGGGGGGGGGTGTGGAACAAAAAACAAACACCCCACACCATCCTGCGTTTCATGTGACAAAAGCATCCCTTTATCAGGGCTCAAGCTTGCTTGTGAAAAGCTTTAGTTGCTATTGGCAACACTCTTACAGAGCCACTAGATTCCACATACTTGCCTGTGTCTACTAAAAAAAGGTATTGTTTGTGAGGTTACACCATAGTTCTTATTGGATTTTTAACAATCAAGAGTGAGCCCTGATAAAAAGGGGAATGCTTTGACCTTTTATCAGGGCTCAAGCCTGAAATGTTAAAAATCCAATGAGAAAAAAAAAAAAAACCCTAAGTGCAACCTCCCAGACAAAACCTTTAGTAGACACAGGCAGGTATGTGGAATCTAGTAGGAGGTGTGGTAGCATTGCTAATAAAATCAAATTTTTTTTTTTTTTTTTTTACGCAAGCATGTTTGAGTACTGATGAAGGGATGTTTTGGTCCCCGAAACATGTTGACACTTTCTACTGGTTGTGACTTTGCCATGGACAAAAAAAAAAAAAAAAAAAAAAAAAAAAATTATAATAATGAATACCAAAAATGATCATGCAACTAAAGTAGGGTGGGCCCCCCCCCCCCCCTTTTGCATCTCAAACCACCAAGCATTTTTTTTTTTGCAGGTAGCATATATGCGACCAGCTATACATTGGTCATCATCCAGATAGGAAGTTTGACTGTTGTGTGATAATACACAGACTGAACTCACCTTGTCTCCAACTTTGTAACTGGGAGGAGTGGACATTGTAATATTGTCAATACTGACTTTAGGAGCATCTCTGATGGGAGCCAAGGGAGTCACTTTCTTGTTTGTCTGGATCTGGTTCTTGATCTCATCAATAATGCACTCCACCATGTCTTTAGGTATAGGTTTCCCATGCCAGTTATCTTTATTTTCAACACCTGGAAAGGAATATAAACAAAAACCACACAACAAAGTGTACATATTTCTTTGCACAACGGTCATTTTATGAATGAAGCACAGTCCAAAACCTTACCTGAAATGCCTTTTCCTTTGTAGGTTTTGGCAATGATTGCAGTGGGCTTGTCTTTCACATTGGCTGCCTGCCAGAGAGCATAGCACAATTCCTCCACATCATGGCCATCCACAATGTAGGTGTTCCATCTGAGCACAAGATGGAATACAAGTCAGCTTTTAACCAGAATGCTGAAGCTCCCTGGGATACACAACACACTACACGGTCTTAGAGCACCCCCCCCTAAATCAAGGTGCATCATGTGTGCCAATTAAACCTTTATGCTGCCAGAGCGGTTTGGTAACATTTGTATTTTAGGCCTGAATTGTTTTTTTTTTTATTAAACCAAGACCATGGAGGATAAGTTAAAAATAAAAAAAAAAAGACCAATTTTTAAGTCACACCATAGTGGTGAAACGATTTTTCAAACCCATATTTTACAAAACGTCAAATTATAGCGCACACAAACCATTACTGCTCAATTTCAGGTAAAATTAGAAGAGGACAGTGCATCAAGTTAAATTTATTGCCATCACATAGGGGGGCAGACAAGTTTCACCAGCCAGTACTGCTGGGGAATGATAGGGCTAAAGCCTGAAGTCGCAAAATGCTCGTTGCTTCCATCTTAGTTGATGAGAGCAAAGATCAGCAAACTGAGGATTACGGATCTTGCCATGCCCCTGCGGGAGGGGTAGCAGACCTCATAAAACAGTGGGTGGAGGTATGCAGCAAACATAAGCCACACATCATAGGCAACACAAAAAAACAAAAACAAAAAAAAAAAAAAAAAAAAAAAACACAAACAAAAACACAAACCACACAACTGGTGCACATTTTAACAATGCTACCACATTAAGGTGGTCACCAAGTACAAGAAGGGCGCTTACCCAAAAGCTTCACATCTTTTCTTGTAGATCTCAGTCTTGTGCTGGAGAGGGGCAGCTTCACTCTGGCCCAGACGGTTTACATCAAAGATGGCTACCAGGTTGTCTAGATGGTAAAGAGATGCAAAGGCCATGGCTTCCCATACAGCGCCTTCAGAAGACTCACCATCGCCCAGAAGACAATAGACACGATAACTGCAAAAAGAAAAAGCGCATATGTATTTGATGTAATGAAGGAAATATATTTACCTTGTTCCTTTCAAGAACACCAATGGCTGAAAATGGCAAACTGAATAAAAAAAAACAAAAAAAAAAAAAAAAAAAAAAAAACGGACGACTCACAATGTGCAGAAAGGGCGCCACCAACAGATTTCCAGTTGGCATTAACTGCACCCATAAAGGTTTTTTTTTTTATTATGCTCAGCCATGCACTAGAAAAGTCATGCTGGGGGCTTTCTGTACCAAAGCAAATGCACAAAACCAAGTCACATATTGCAGACCCCATCCAATCAGTAAGTGAAAGAAATCTGTTAAGCATTTTCAGAAAAGGTTTAGCAACTGCACCCCACATTTTCCTTAGAGGTTTACTCCAAGCATCAGGTGCCATGTTTTGGACACTATTCACTGATCAAAGTTAGAACTTTACCTATATACTAAAGCAATCTGCAAATTAATGCAGGCATTTCCATAAGCTTTTTATAGGCAAGCCACATGGGTCCCTTGCCACCCCATTAAGGTCTATGACACTTGTGTCCTTTTCTATTACCCCCAGCAAATTGATATGTTTTGGGGGGGAAAGGGTGTACTTACCTGGCCTTATCAAAGTATTTCCCGGTGTAAGCCATGCCACAGGATGCTCCCAGGCCTTGCCCAAGAGAGCCGGTAGCGACATCAACAAATGGCAGTTTCTGTAATACAATATTTTTAAATTATATGTGAAGTTGCACAATGGAAATCATGCCAATACTATTTTTTTTTCCCCCCCATGCTTTGGGGGTGAAGACTGTTCTATTGAATGTGCTACTGCTCTTGAGACAGTCTTCTGCTGAAGATCCCTATAAATCAAGCCGGCAGGGCTGGATGGGGTCATGCCAACCTTCAAATCACAGGCCGACTATGGAACTGTAGGCACACTGTTCCTTGGTATCTTGTATGTCTCAGGCATGAAACCTGGACACACTGACCATGCCATCACGGATCTGGCCCAGAAGGCAGATAGAACATATGGTAGCTGCAGTTATAAAACAAACACAACAAACGTCACCGCATCTAATTATTGGTAAGCTGCAATAATATATTTATTTTTTAGTAGGACTCCAATATAACAAATACTATTATATTCAGCCAGGAGGTGGCGCACAAGGCTTTAATGTCCATTTTTAGCTACTGTGCAGACCAGCCATAGGAGCAATACATGCACACAGCATTGGGTGTGCTCGGTTAGAATCCCCCCCCCATTTTAAGTAATTATTTTACTAAATACAGTTGTATTACCGGTGTAGGATGGCCCTCCAAATCGCAGTCAATTTTCCTCAGGTTAAGAAGGTCGGATTCCTTAATATAACCAGCTTCAGCCCATGCAGCATATAGGATGGGAGCAGCGTGACCCTGGATAGAAGAATTTCAGATTTCAAAAGGAGAAAAGCCAAACAATCCAGAAACATTGACTAAATATCAGCAACAGCTTTTTTAGTTTTTGGTCGTGGCAGCAATGGGGAAGGGGGGGGGGGTTTAAATAGCTAGGACCATCTTCACCAGAAGAGGTGTCCAAGCATCCCCTTCTACTCCTGTTTTGGTGACATTGTTTCCCCTCACTTTCTGTTCTGGGGACAACAACTCCTCCCCATTGTCCATGACAGACCTGTGGTCACACCTTTGGCACTCAAAGCACCCTTTGCATAGTATATATACACACACCCACCACACTTTTTTGCATCCATCAGCCGCACCAAGATACTTTGTTCATGAAAAAAGATTGTATTTCATGGTAAAAAAGATGTGATTGATAACTTTGCTGAATATAGGAATAATTGATCTATAGTCGACAACCTATTAGAAGAGATCAAATGAAGAAGGAATCTATAAGGTCATCAACGCATGTAAGGCTTCACTATAGCAGCACAGTGGCTAAATGGTTAGCACTTCCACCTGGCAGTATTCGGATCATTTGTTCTAATCCTAACCACGGCACCACCTGCCTGGAGTTTGCATGTTCTCCCTGTGCGGGTTTCCTCTGGGTACCTCCCACACTCGAAAGATATGCTACTAGGTTAATCGGATCTTGTCTAAATTGGCCCTAGTATATGTGTGTATGTATGAATGTAAGTTAGGGACCTCAGATTGTACACCCCTTTATGGTTAGGGACTGATGTGAAGGTATGTATGCATAGTGCCATCAATTTATGCAGCGTTAAATATATAACACACTGCATAAAATAATGGCACTATACAAGTACCTGTAAGAATTAAATTAATAAGCCCCAGTGGGTGGGGTAAAATGCATCAGGGGTGTGACTTGTGGAGTGGTGCATGGTTGAGGCTGTCTCACATGAGAAAGCGGTGATTTTTCTAATTATGCTACACACTACTGGAGGGTATTTCATGGCAGCACCCCATTCCTGAACACCAACAGGACAATACATATCTGTCTTTGATTAGACCACTACAAAGCACAAGCAGCCAACATAACTGAGGTTCATGTTTATAGGTGTTGCAAGCCAAAATGAACAGCCTGCCTTCATGCAACACGCCTCCATACACACATAGCATGAGAATAGGCCCTTAAAGTGGTTGTGAACCTCAGACATGAAATATGAACAAAGCATATCCCCTCTGTAGTGTGTAGTTTTCTCAGTCCAGGGAACCAAGTGCTGCCTCCTTCCTCTACTATCAGCATGCATCACTTTTGACAAGTTTTCCTGACACCAAGAGATAAAAAGGTAACAGGGGAGGGAGCTGCAGCACACAGCCTGTGATTGACAGCCTCAGCTCTGTTTGCGTGAATCAGCCCACTGAGCTCTGCAGAGTGAGACTTAAGTGCCCCACTTTGACAGCTACAACAAGCTGTACAAATTCTGCACTTTGAACAGATGTAGAGAAGAGACTACAGAAAGACAAGTACAACTTATGTAGGAGGATTTGTTTCATCTCTGTATCACTGGGTATACAGAAGGGTTACAACCACAAAAAAAAAAAAAAAAAAAAAAAAAAAAAAAACCACAAAAAACACCCTTAGTTAGTCAGAAAGGCTTGCCATGTCTTCCATTCACAGGGAACTGTAAACTATAAAGACTACAAGTCCCATCTCCCACAGCGCACATGTAATCCATTATTTCCTCCAGCCCCATTAAACGGTCCATACCTCCGGATGAACAGAACTGGAAGCCTGTGCATTGCACTGACCGTGGTTGCAATACTCTGCACTCACAAATAAAAATATTTTTTTTTTTGCATTGAAGCCTGCATTTAGGATTTTTTTTTTTTGCAAAAAAGGTGGACTATGCCAGTAGCACATCCAGACATGGTGGTACACAACTTCCATATGTCAAATCCTTTCCATCAGACTCACCTTTGACAGAACAAAGCGGTCATTGTTGAAGTTGCCAGGGTCAGCTGCATCGTATCTCATGGTGTTGAAGAAGAGGACGGACAAGATTTCGGCAGCGCTGCAGCAGGATGTGGGATGCCTGTCACAAGGAGTAAACCATGTTAAAAGTTTAATAAGGAAATATGGGGATCAGTCTAAAGAACAAATCACACGATGGCTTATGCCAAAATGACATCTGACCACACTAGTGCACTACAAGTCCCAGCATACAGCACCAGGCAGACTACAAAAAAGGTGGAGGTTTTGTCCATAGGAACAAGCCAAACCTAAAAAGCACAGGATTGCTAAATGGAATATACAAGGATAAAAAAAAAAAAAAAGTGCCGCAATTTTTTTTGCAGGAACAAAACAAAAACCCAAACACACCCCCCTAGGTGATCTATGACAGGGCACCTAACCCTCTCCCAACAATACCAGGGGCTGAAAATTAGGGATGCACCGAAATTTTGGCGGCAAACACATGTCATCCAGTGACCCCCAGCCCTTTGTTAACTTTGCACCCCCCTGCCTACAAAAAGGACTGGTTACTTACATGCCATCACAAGGGGACTATTGGTCCTCTGTGTGATAGCAATAAATAGCAATAAAATCATTTAAAAAAAAAAAAAAAAAAAAAAAAAAAACACATTTAGCCCAGGTTCACACTGCGGCACGGGACACCACATGCAAGTCACAGGACTCACCACATTCCTGTACAAAATGTCTGCCTGGTGCGATTTGAGTCATACATTTTGTATGGCTCAAGGCACATCCTCACCCAAAGAAACAGGACCCCCCCCCCCTTTTTTTAAGCCACACCTAAATTGCATGGCATGGGTGTTCTCACCCATGCAATGCGATTTCTGACAATTGCATTTTGCGATCCATTTCGGGGCATCATTAATTTATCATCGACTCCCGCACTATATCACATGAACGTGATGCAATTGCAATGTAGGAAACGCACAGGAGTCGCACCGCATTGGTGAGAACCCAGGCAAAATAGATACATTTTACACACACTTTTAAATTTCAGTGCACCACTACTGAAAATGCTTCATACTGGGCCTCAAAATGCATAAGCACAAAGATAAAAAAAAAAAAAAAAAAAAAAAAAAAGGGTCCAAACCATATTATGCAATAACGGTGAATACACTGAACACCACTTAAAAGTCCAATGTGTGCTTGATCTGTGCGTTTATAATTTGTTCCCAAACAGGTGCTCTTTATTGCTTATATCCACATTCCTATAGGTGCTCCAGACAGACAGATATATATACACATATACACACTCACCTCGTTTTATGACTCAAATTGCAGAGGTCAAATACCACCTTTCCCTTTACACACAGTATATCTACCTGGGTTAAGGAGGACTCCACTTTCCTCCTCACTCTGTTGCAAACGGTCCCCGTCTCCTCTTTATCCCACATATATTCCGCATATGTAAACAAACGCTTGCCATAGCGTAGTATATAAATATAGCGTGATTTATTAAAAGGAAAAAAAAAAAAAAAAAAAAAAGTGCACTCACATTTAAAAGTGTCCTGCTGGGACACAAACCTTGTTATAATGTATTGTCAAAGTGTTCAGGAATTTCCAAGATGGCGGCTCATAAACCATCCTGGAAGCTGCCATCTTGGAAATTCCTGAACACATTGAAAAGACATAACAATGTTTTTTACTGTGGTGTCCTAGCAGGACACTTAAATGTGAAGGCACTTTGTTTTTTTGTTTAAGAAATCACACTATATTTATATACTACACTATGGCAAGCGTTTGTTTACATATGCGGAAGATGTGGGATAAAGAGGAGACAGGACCGTTTGCAGCGGAGTGAGAAGGAAAGTGGAGTCATCTACACAGTATACCTACCTGGGTTAAAAAAGGGAAAGGCGGTATTTGACCTCTGCAATCTGGATCATAAAAAGGAGGTGAGAATATATGTGGATATAAGAAATAAAGAGCACCTGTTTGGGAACAAGTTATAAACGCACAGATCAAGCACACAGTACGGATCTTTAAGTTGTGTAGAGTGTATACACCATTATTATTATACAGTATTTATAAAGCGCCAATAGTTCGCTCAGCGCTGTACATTACAAAGGGAGACAGAACATGTGACAGAACAATACCAATACAATGCAAAACATGAGGGGGATCAAGGGCCCTGCTCTTTCGAGCTTACAATCTAGGAGTTGTTGCATAATCACATGGTTTGGATGCTTTAATTTATGAGGTTAGCGATATATGCACGTGGAAACGCATGCAAGTGTCAGCAGCGCTGGTATACACAGGAATTTGAGGAGTTATTTGTTGCGCTGAAGTTTTTATTTGTACACAAGATAAAAAAAAAAAAAAAAAAAAAAAAAAAAAAAAAGGACTGAAGCCATTTTCCAAGTGCATAGATATGAACGGATTCCAACTAGAACATGGCCTTTGATTACCACAAGTGTTTAGGTGTGCTCCTTCCACTACATACATTAATGGGAATGTGTAAAATGGGGCCCAACAAAATCCGACTGGATCTTGTGGACAATTCCACCCGACGTCTACTCCAAATTCATACAATGCAATATTAAAGGGTTCGTTTACCTTCACAATAAACACTGCCTATGTAGGCAAAGGGTGTCTAGATGAAAAACTGCAGTTCTGACTAAGGGCTGATTCACACTATAGAAACGCAGTCCAGATGCATTTTTGGCTTGTTCCAGTTCATCCCCCCCTTCCGTCTTCAATTTAAATAGGGACATGTGCGTTCATGTGTTTTACCGAGTTCCAGTACAGTATTGTGCAGAACAAAAAAAAATTATAATATATAATATCATTTCTTTCTGCATCTGGAACACACTGGAACTGCAAGCACTGATGTGAACTGTGACATTGACAACCATACAACCTACTTTGTGCATTTTGGATGCAGAAAAATGCAAATAATGCAAATAAAACACTTGTAGTGTGAACTGGCCCTAAAGTTGAATCACGTCCTTGCTATAGGCGTAGGTCATTATGTCCCTCATGACGCCTGACTGGAATTCTCCCAGGCCATTGCTAAATGAGGCCTAGTCATTACTGCTCACCCCCACAGGAGTGAGCTCTCTCTCATCCTAACCCCCCCTCACATGCTCTATGTTCCCCGATGTAGTGGCTCTGAGCTCAGTGCGAGAGCTCACTCCTGTGTTGGTGGAGGTGAGCAGTGATGACTAGGCCTCATTTACCAACGTCCTGGGAGCAGTCCAGTCAGGCTTTCATGAGGTATGTAAACACCCTACACCTATAACAAGGTGTGGGGGAGGTTTGGGGTATATTAAAAAAAAAAAAAAAAAAAAAAAAAAAAAAAAAAAAAAAAAAAAAAAAAAAAAAAAAGAAAAAAGTACACACCACACAACACACCACACAAGCAACAACCAGCAATCTGTCAGGTAACTCAGAATCTACCTAGATGCCTTTTGCATGAAGAAAGTGACAATGTTCACTGCTATGGCCTGACCAGCAGTAACAAAATGTTGAATCTAAGTGTCCGCTCACATGTGTGGATTGGGTGCGTTTTGAACCGCATCCAATCTGCATTACGCGAGAAACATTGCTTTCTATGGTGCCTGTTCACATACGTCCGGTGCCAGGCCGGCGCAGATTCAGTGCGATTTTAACTACTTGGTAACTGCGCTATAGCCAAATGATGGCGGCTACAGCGTGATGTCCTCCTAGAACCCCAGGGGCACGCACCCGGCAATCTGTGATCGCTGTGTCCTACGCAAGTGTATAATCCAAACGCACATGTTCCTGCGTTAAAAATGGCTGTGTGTATACAAGTGTCTAAAATATTTTGGTGTACAAGTGGGTGCTGCAGCGACTGTGACCGAACAAAAATCAGCAAAGAAAAAATGTCACCAGCACACCGAGGATGAAGGGGTCCTGCGAGACTCCAAACGTTGCCTTGTAACTATGTGATTGTTTATTAAAACTTTTGGACCCATATTGGTGATCCTCGGTGTGCTGGTGACATTTTTTCAATGTGTCCTACGGGGACAGCTGATCACATGATTAGGTAAAAGGCCAATCACAGCAGCCTTTTACCACATGATCAATGACAGCTGATCATGGTGTAAATACAGTTGCCGGTTATCAGCAGCACTTTCCTCACGTTATCACAGCATGAGGGAAGTACTGCTGATAACCAACAGCAGTCAGAGAAGATTGGTACTGATCAGTGCCCTACAGCAGTTGCGCCCGTCAGCACCACCTATCAGTGAACATCGCTCCTGCATACCGTAATCCACTCATCAGTACCTCCTCAAATGTCCACCAGTGCCACCTCATCAACGCACATCATTGGAGAAAAAATTATACGATAACAAAATTTAAAACAGAAAAAAAAAACAAAAAAAAACCCCCAGCGGCGATTAAATACCACCAAAAGAAAGCTCTATTTGTGTGAAATAAAATTGCTAAAAACTTCATATGGTACAGTGTTGCACAACTGCGCAATTGTCAGTGCGACAGCGCTGAAAGCTGAAGATTGGCCTGGGCAGGAAGGGGGTATAAGTGCCCAATAGGCAAGTGGTTAAAAAGATTCCCGTCTGATTTTTGGGCAGTGGACTTCAGGTTCAGATTACAGGCTACTGGCTTCTATAGGAACCATTCCTAAACTGCACACGTGTGAACAAGCCAAGATCCTGAGCCAACCCTGCCCTGAACCTGATGCAAGCCTGACATGAACTACTGTACCAATTGGCTCTGAAACCTGAGCTTCAATTTGCACCACACGTGTGAATCAGCTCTCTAAGACCTCATTTACATGGGGTGCATCAATGCGTACCCCACGAGAGGGTCGTATTAATCCACACGGGGATGTGCAGGCGGTCTGTGTATCGGCAGACAGTCCCACTGATGTCTATTGGGACATAGCGGCTGCACAGACAAGGCAGCTGCAACCCCGAACGCAGGTTTGGGGATATAAACCCTTACAGGTGTCATACTAGAAGCAGCGGCCATGTATGTGCAGATGTGGCCTCCATTTTGGCATGAATGGGACATCCTTATACAGGCAACACCTGTGCAGGTAAACATGGCCCTCACACAGGGTACACATTGATATGC